TTCCGTGAAACTCTAAATAAGATGATGGCATTTCGTCTACTATCTACAGTACATCCACCTGGGGGAAACGAAGAGTGTGTGAATATTTAGCTTATTGGAAAGTGCGTTCAGAACTGCTCACTACTATTTTAGTGTGTTTCTTGCAATCAACAAAAATAAAACACGTGTTCCCGACGACAAGGCGAACTGCTTGGTTTTTCTATCAGCCATGTAAGTAATGAAGAATATCAACAATGAAGCGACATTTTTTTGAACAAAATCAAGTACTGTGTGCTGTATGTTTCTGCTAAAGAGCATTGTAGTATTTGCTAAGCAAAATGTGATTTAAAAAAGGTTTGAGTTTAAAGATGCTTACTATGTGATAATGTTATAATGATGCGTGATGTCAATATTCTTGCTACGATTTTGAATTTTGTTCGTCTTCCGATCTGAAAAGCCCATACGTAGTACTACCTGAAGCTTTCCTCTCCCTAAAAGATAAAAATGTTAGACATTTTTGATTGCAGGACAAATGTGACAGAGTATAAACTTGATCCAGTGTACGACTACGACTGGATCGTCGCTGTGAAATTAGCAGGTGAGAGGGTGTTGTCCACATAGTCATTAAAAGAGAACGTTCAGAAAAAAATTCATTGGATATTCATTTGCTTTGTTTTTGAGGAGGTGACTTCAGTGGACTTGTCGATAAAAAGCGAGGAACTGTTGTCGAGGTCTCTGAGCCATTTTATGACGAAGAAAACAAAAATGCAAATATTATTTACAATGCCATAAGGAAAGGATTTCAGTCGTAATAAATATCATACCTTATGCGTAAATACGGAGAAAATATGCACGAGACATTAGAAAATATGCACGAGACATTATACAGCGAAAAAAAGTGACTGCACCAATAAACGAAACAATTTTATCAACAAAGAAAGCCCTTTAGTCAAAGTGGGCTTTTTAGACGAAACGTGTATTACTTGGAATAACACTAAACGCTGAATTCTACTGTGTGTTGAAGCTACAGCGAAAATTTATTTTATATAGATCCTGCAATAATTTTTCGACTAAAAAAGCACATAACTTGGCGTGCACAGGACCACAGCAGACAACAGAGACATGTTTGGAATCAACATTCAGTGCTCCAAAATTGCTATTAAAAATTATACGAAAGAGCTACTTTAACCAACCATTCACTTTCCTTGTC